TGAAGGGTGAGCATCGTCTTGTCTTCTGTCCGCTGTCCTCCATCATCATCATCATCACTCACGGTGCGGGCGCCGGCCCCTTTCCTCAGGGCGACAGCAGCATTCGGTACTTTGAGATCACGGACGAGGCTCCGTACGTCCACTACCTCAACACCTTCTCCACCAAGGAGCCGCAGAGGGGCATGGGGTACATGCCCAAGCGCGGACTCGATGTCAACAAATGTGAAATTGCCAGGTATGGGGGCCATTCGGGGCATTTTCACCATGTTTCTGGGAGAGATGGGGACCGGGCTCATAATTCACGCAGTTTAGAACGACTTTGGGGAACAAAATGTACTCCATACCGTATCTTGACGTGAACTGTGATAGAGTTGGCTTCACTGGATTGATTACAAATTTCCCCCTTTCAGGTTCTACAAATTACAGGAGAGAAAATGCGAGCCGGTCATCATGACTGTCCCTCGGAAGGTGAGGGAAAATTAATTTACTCAATTGCAGTGAGGTCCCACCATGTATTATGTAGGCAATGTTTATTCGTTTGTATAAATGCTTAAAAAATGTTTTTAACAAGAATATTATATTTGTGACTTACCCATTGAAACCTGCCGCCTGTCAGTCGGACCTGTTCCAGGACGACCTATACCCGGACACGGCGGGGCCTGACCCCGCCCTGGAAGCGGAGGAATGGTTCGCCGGCAAGAACGGTGGCCCGGTCCTCATCTCGCTCAAGGACGGCTACGTGCCCACTAAGGGCCGAGACCTCAAAGTGGTCAAACCCAACATCCTGGAGGGCAAAGTTGCCTCCGCCGCCGCCAAGGCCGAAAACGCCTCCAATGTCCAGAAGAACCTTACATCTCATGCTCCCGCTCAGCCGGCAACAGTGAGTCAATGCTAATTTTCAAATCGGTGTGTGTGAGTGTGTGTGTGTGTGTGTGTGTGTGTGTGTGTGTGTGTGTGTGTGTGTGTGTGTGTGTGTGTACACATGAATAACTTTTTGGCCTGTCCAAGGGTGTAGACAGAAATCTTGCAGTGTGGGGGTGACACAAAATTTCAGTGCGGGGTAGCCATTTATGCATCCGTCATTCTCTATTTTAGCATCCACAGTCCTAGTTTCATGGAATAAAATTCATACTTTTGCAAAACAATGCCCGTCACACTCATAATCAAGCAGAAAGAAATCTAAGAATAACAAAGGGTGGCCTTGGCCACCCCTGGCCACCCTGTAACGCCGCCCCTGGCCTGCCTTTTCTTAGCTCGCATGATGAGCGAGGAAGCTTCGACCCGCTGGTTAACAGTTAGCACCAAGCGACTGTCATGTGCAAAGCTCTCAAAGGGGAACGGAAACGGAGGTTGGGAAAGACCAGCCGTGAGCGTACCCCTGTTCTCTCGCCAAAAGTCAGCTGGGATGGACTGTATACAACAGTCCATGATCAGTTTTTGCTTTCTGTCTTTTGCTGACATCGGTAGTCTGGGCACCATAATTTGTGTGGTTGGAACAAATTGCAAAAGCTGCGAATCAGCGCATATTTGGTGAAAGCGGGTGTCAGCTTTAAAGTCGGTCTTGTTTTGGGAATGTTTTGTTCCAGCAAAAGATGGAAGATAAACTGGAAGAGGTTCTCCGAGAGTTCAAGTCTCTGCGGGACCGCGTCATCCTACAGGACCGGCGTATCGCCAGACTGGAAGAGCAGGTTTCCAAGGTTGCCATATAATCATCCCCCCTAAATCCCCTCACCCAAGTTCAAAAACGCCTCTACCCCCCC